TAATGCCCAAAGTAAAGGGTACAACCTAGAAATTAAATGACAGAAAACCTTTCTCTTGCAGGGACTGAATGAAGAGGAAGCAGCAAGTTGAGGAGTAGGTATAAACCAGAGCTCTAAACAAATAGAGTCATCCTGTGAACCTGAAACTAAAGTGTGGTTCTTAAATGTATTTGGCCTCATGTTCATTAGAGGGGTTGAGCACCCAAACTGCCTGGTTGGCTAAACTCCAGTGCACTAGTGAGAACAAATGAAGACATCTCATCTCATGGCCCCAAGATGAAAGCTCAAGACTTAAATGGAGGTAGCAAGAATTTGATGCACTTAGGTTAGCAAGGGGTAAGACACAGATCAGAGAAGTGGGTCCCCACACTCTTCCCTTCCTTCCTTTCCTTTAGCAGGTGTTAGATGCCAAGAGGGATGCTCATGAATGCTAACACACAGACTTTAATTTCTAGGAGTCCACAGTCTGGGAAGCAAACGGCACAGCGTGCATGGACTCCCGGGCCGCATGGACCTGAGTGTGATGTGAAGAGCAGAGAGATCTGATACACATGTAAGGTGCTATCAAGTTTTAGGGGCTTGGAGAATGTAGACATGGGTCTTAGCTTGGAGTTAGGGAGGCAAAGAAGGCTCAAGGTTTTCTAAATAATTAAGCAGCACTGTATTGGGAATGAGTTGGCAGGTTTAGAAGGCAATAGGGAACCTAGCTTGGCCACTTTCAGTGTGACGGTGGGAGATCAGGAGAGAGAAATGGGCCAGGCTGATAGGGTCTCTGATTTGGTAGTGGAGGTTAAAATGTCTCCTGTTTTCCCATAATAAAACAACAATTCTAAGACCAGTAAGAGAGGAGATTCACCCTGGGAGATTAGAGGGTAACCTGAGACAGTTGCACCAGTATAAAATTTCTGGGGGGTCTCCAGCCTTATGTTACAAATTCAAGCGAATTTTGTGTTCTATTTCATACTTTGTTGTTGTTGTTGTTTTTAAGTGCCGTCGAGTCGGTTCCGACCCATAGCGACCCTGAACAGGGTTTCCGAGGCTGCAAATCTTTACAGGAGCAGAAAGCCTCATCTTTCTCCCGTGGAGCAGCTGGTAGTTTCGAACTGCTGACCTTGCGGTTCGCAGCCCAATTCGTAACCACTATGCTACCAGAGCTTTAGTCATGCTTATTTTAATATAAAAATAAAGCCCCCCCCATCTTCAAGTGATATCAACATACCAGGAAGATGGGCCATGTTTAGTCAGCAGTATCTTGCCTCTCCTGCAATGCCCTTGCCCCACTCCACCCCCTATTGAGAAGCATTGGGTGTCACTGGAGACTTTTATGTATGGGAGTGACATAAAAGTACTATCTTTGGTACCTTTATTTGACAACAGTGAGAATGGATTAGACTAGGGAAATTATTAACTGACAAGTGTAATGTAAAGAAAGCTTGGGGGTAGGGCAACAATGGGAAAAGGCGAGGTGGGGAGAGATTCCAAAGCCTTTCTCTCTATCTTTCCATAGCTCTTTCACCCCACTGCCTCATCTTCTTTTCCTTTCCTTCCCATCTCTCTTATCATGAGTCCCTGTAGATGACCATGGGATGAACGCTCTTGATACACCAAAGTTCAGGACTTACTGAATCCTTCAAGTTAGCAGCTGCCTCTCTACCTCACTCTGGGAGGCATCATTTAAAGTACAGGAAGAAGCTTAGGTGGGGGCTCTATCCTACTCTTGTGCTCACTCCTCAACTCAATTCCAGCCTGCTGCTCCTACCCTTCCTTTGCAGGATCTGGATCCTTGGCTCATATTCTCAGCTTTGAGCATGGGCAGACAGGTAACAGATTAGGATATTTGGTTGGTTGGATAGAGTAGCAAACCAATTGGGGAGCTTCTCAGATTTCCTTCCAGAGGGGGATAAAGGGTTATGGCTGGCATCTAAAGTCTGAGAGAGGGCATCCCATCTGTGTTTAAGAACTTTCCTATGGCTGGATCAGGAATGTGGTCAGACTACTCTAAGGCTTGTGACCCCCCCCCCCTTCCAAAACAAAGATTCTGTAGTTACAGGGGCTTACAGTTTAGGCAAGAATGCCTCTTAATTTCTATGATGCTTTTCCATTTGCAAAGGACTTTCATATACAGTAAAACCTGGGAAAGCCAGAACCAGCATAAGGCAGAAACTTATCAGAGAATGAAAACTCAAATATTTTCCACTATAAGGAGCAATAGAAAAGTGCTAAGACTGCATCTTGTTAAAGGCAGAAAACTTATGAGACCCAGAAAAACAAGACAGTCTTGTCAAGTTCTGACTCTCACAGGTTATATTGGAAGTGATTTCATTTAGCTCTCACAACCATCTTGCATAGCAGGAATGGTCATCCTCGTTTCAGCTCTAAGAAATCAAGAATTTGCCCAAGGTTGAATAGATAGAGAAGACTTGAACCCTGTTCTTCTAAGACCTGAGACCAGACAGATTCTTTCTACTTCTCGCCCCCTCCACCCCGGCAGCCATTTGTGCCTCTGACATGCACTGATCCTCCCAAACCCTGAGGGATTCCATTTCTACTTCCTGCCTCTACCACCTCTCTGGAAATGAGCTCTGGAAGTTTGCTGCCCACTGGGTGCCAAAAAACATTTTCCTATTCATCCTGAGCTTGCATCACTCTAGTTTATCTCCGGTTTCAGGATTGGGGAGCAAACAAGTCTTGCTTATCTAGGTCTTTCCTTATTTTATGGATTTCCATCTGTCTCATCTTCAAGAGGCTTAAGCTTTGAAACTACTCTCTAACCCTTCTCTAGGACCAGTGACCAGACATGCACTCATCTATGTGGTTTTTGCAAGAGTGGGGAAGGATTCTCTCTGTTTCCAATCATCTTTATTACGATACCAATGCTTTTTGGCCTTTTGGGATTAGCAGACCTTGGGGTGAAAGGATGAAGAGAACCTTTTGTGATGCCTTCCATATTCCTTTCCTGATGCAGAATCCTTCATCTCACTCTTAATTTCAGTGATTTTTTTTTAAAGGTGACGACAGCACAAGCCCTGAAAAGAGTATCAGAATTTGGTGTGGGATAATGAGGGTGTGACTCTATGTTTATCAAATAGGGGTAAGGGATTAAAAAACCCAAAATGGTTGGAGAAACAATGTCCTAGACAGTGATCAGCTAATTTAAATATGGAGGGGTGAGTGTGTGGGGTGTCACTTATGGGTGGAGAGTGAGAAAGGTTGAGACACACTTATTTAGATTGTTGTTAAGTGCTGTCATCGAGTCAGTTCTGACTCATAGCGACCCTGTAATAGGGTTTCCAAGGAGTAGGAAGTGGATTTGAACTGCTGATCTTGCCGTTAGCAGTCCAATGCTTATCCTACATCGCCACACCAGGACTTCCTGTATAGGTTACTCATTGGGTTCAGGAGAGTCAGTGTCCTGCCCTAGCCACAGGAAAAGCAAAGGGGGATAGTTGGGCACAGGTGAGACATCCTTCCAACCAGACTTGGAGGCTCATATATAGGCCCCATGTTAGATCTCAGACCTTGAAATCCATTGGTCTCCTCACCTTTTCAAAGCCACCAGGGTGTTGTTGGGATGATCGAGGCAAGGAAGCAAACAGGGAAACAGGACAACAGGATTTGTTGCTAAGGGGTAGAGGCTGCAGTTCCCTCTTTATACCTGGGCTCCGGTCCCCTGAAGGGAAGGAGACTTTAGGCAGCTGAGTTGGGATCCAGGTAAAGATATCGTGTGTGTGTGTGTGTGTGTGTGTGTGTGTGTGTGTGTGTGTGTGTGGCAAGGGGTGCCTGGTGAGCTGCACTAGAGTTGGGAGCTGACTGTAAGTATGTGATGAAGTCTATGCAGTCTGGGGCTATGCTTGGCCCCTTTATACCCTCCTATTGCCATTCCTTCCTTCCTTCCCAGATCTTGATTCCCACTAACAATTTCCCCATGGCTTTCTCTCCTCAGATTACAATTCGGGAAGTCAGGGTGATGCTTGGGTCTATTGTGGGTTGGAGAGTGAATGTCTCCTATTGCTACCCCAATCCAAGGCCAAGTTGCAACCTTTCTCTCACTCTATTCACCAGTGCACTCCACCATCACCACCACACACACACTCTGAAGAGCAGAAACAAGTTTGTAAGTGTAGGCTGGGGTTAGAGGCGACCTACTGCAGCCCACCCCACCGCACATATGTAGCAGCTGGGCAGACGCTGCTGGGTAGACACACATGCCACTGGCCAGGGACATTCTGTCCGACTGCCGGCCGCAGCGCCTGCTTGGGCGAGACCCACCTCGTGGATCCAGACATTCTATCCGCTCAGAGCCCCAAGCACCGCAGACATTCCGTCTGATTCCGAAGTGGTCCCAGGGCGGGCCCATCCAGGCCCTGACACCCTAAGCCGGACACGCCAGACCCTCCACCCGATCACTGGGGCCGCGCAGCCTCGGTCCTGCAGCCCGCAGAGCGGCCATCTGCCCTGGCGGAGGCCCGACTCTCCCAACATTGCTCTCGTCCAAATTGCGGAGCAACTGAGAAGAGAAGCTTGTGCCAGCAGGCTTACCCCTGCTCCCAGCTCCTGGGGTCTCAGCCCCCGGCTGAAGGGCATCAGGCGCTGCCAACTGCCCCTCTTCTGAGCAGCCGCGAGCAGCTCCCCACGCTGGCCAGGGCCTGGGCAACTTTTTCCACTGCCCGGTCGCCTGCCCGGTACCCCGGGGTTCCAGGGCGCTTTCTTGTAAGGGTTTCCAACTTCTCATTCTTTGCCTTCTGGAGCCCCTGTCCTGGCTTCAGGGCTCAGGCTTTTCTCATGGTCCCCTGAGTCTTCCCTTCCTGGTCCCTCAAGTTCTGACCCTGAGTTTGCTTCTTCCCAAGTATTCACCCTGGGTCTGCAGTCCGCCCTCCCAGACTGGTCTCCTTTCCCGGACACCGGAGTCTAACCTCCCCACGTCCCGTTCCAGGGATCCCCAGGTCCGGCCCTGGCCCTCAGCCCTGTGAGCCCTGCGCCCTGCATGCTCGAGCACTCACAGTGCGTCCCGCAGCAGGCGGACTCCGGCAGCGGCGGCGGCGACGGTCTGGAGGGCAAGCAGGGGCCAGGGGCTGGGCACCGGGCGGGGTGGGGGTCGCCCCCCTGAACCGGGGCAGCCGCTGCGCTCTGGCGCTCCAGGACTCGCGAAGGGAGCGTGAGAGCCTCACTGCAGACTGTCACCCCCCGCCGGCGCCCATTCACTTTATGGCAGCCCTGGGCGCCCCCAGCCAGCCGCGAGTCTCACGGGTGGGGCCCGCCCCCTTCCAGCTGCGCTCCCCGGACCCCGCCCCTTCCAGCTGTGAATCTTCAGACCCCGCCTTCGGAGGAGGGGTCCAGCCAGCGGGCCGCCAAGAACCCTGCCCCAAGACCAATGGGAGGCACTCCTCAGCAACTGGGTTCCACCCCTCCCCACGTGGCCAGGACCCGGCTCTAGCCAGGATGATTTGGCACAGAGGAGTCGGCGGAGCTGAGTGGAGTAGAGTGCTCCGGTAGCCCCTCGGAGTCGGGGCTGGAGGGCATCTAGGTGGGGCTGGGCCGCCACCTCGCGCGAAAGGGAGCTTGGAGGGGGGGGGCGGTACAGGGGCGGCTGTCCGGATTGTCCGCTGGAGCGCCAGATGGGAGGGCGCAACGGCCTGGAGGGCCCGCCTGGTCTCAGCGCTTAGACTACGCTGCTGCTCAGGTTTCCCCGATTTTTTCCACTTGTCGCTGTCCGTCTCTCCGCCCTTTTGTCTCTTCTCCAGTCCTCTCACTCTAGCCTTACTTTCCTCTTCTTTTCCCTACGCCACTTAACTCCTGTTTTTTGCCCTTCTTCCTCCTCTTCTGCTCTTTAAAAGACTATTTAACTTGCGGCACTTCGTTTTTCTCACATCTTTCACTTTCCTGTTTTTTCTTCCCTTTTCTCTCTCTTCCAAACAAGGTGGCTTCATCAAGAAAGCAGAGCTTTGGAGAGAAACAAACTAAACGGGGTGTTCCAACTCTGCTCCCAACTACACCATCATAGAGTGAACTTGCACAAGTAATTTAATTATCATTCCTTCCACCCCAAATAATTAAAGGAAGCTCCCGCTGGGTTTCAGGACTTGTAATGGGTACTTCTCTGAGGTGTGGGCAGATTGCATATCTGCCAGCATCCATGGCTTGTCCAGGCTCTGCTCTCCCAGCTTCAAATGAGCTGGCTTCCGTCTGGTGGTACCCATTTCAGTCCTGTGAGCATGGTGTGGGCTTGATGCTTGCTGGTTAGGGAGTTGCAGAGGGCATGACAGATGTCCCGCGGAACATATGGAGTCAGGCTGGGTTGAGCCAGGTGTCTAGCCTCTTGCTACAATGATTCTTCTTGTAGCTACCCTTTATTATCCCATCCATTCATCATATTTGAAGGGATCAACATGTATATTGTCCCCCGCTAGACTGAGATTTAGGAGGGCAAGGACCATGTCCTCATACTTTTATCCTTAGGCACAATGTACAAACTCATGTCATACTGAAATCTAACAGGGAGATGGTCTGCCTGGTAAAATGACAATTGGTGGATAAGGTTGTCATATGGCTCCTCTTTATTTCTAATCTAAAGCCACATTTCATGTTTTTAGACAAGATTGGTGTCTTTCTAGAGGTATGTGGTTAGAGATAGAAGAGTAGAGAGTTTTAACCAATTTAGAATGTTTTCCAATTGGCCAACCAAACCAAAACCAAACCCATTGCTGTAGACTGAATTCTGATTCATAACAATACTATAAGACAAAGTAGAACTGTCCTATAGGATTTCCAAGGCTGTAAATCTTTATGGCTTGTGCATAGGGTCACTATAAGTGGAAACCGACTCAACGGCACCTAACAAACAACAACAAATCTTTACAGCAGTAGACTGATACATCATTCTCCCACAAAGTAACTGGTGGGTTCGAACTGCCAACCTCTTGAATAGCAGCTGAGTGCTTTAAATACTGCACCACCAGGACTCCTATTGGCTATTCAGTACCTCACAATGTGAGACAAATCCAGGGGACCAACTCTCAGCTTTCAAATAAAGAGAAGAATAGCTTTGTAGGACTGTGAAAAGAGGTGCTATGGTCGTTTGTCTTCTTTCTCTGTCTCACTTTGGATAAAAGAGGAAAGCTCCTCTGCTGGGCCCAGAGACCAGGAGACCATCGTGCAAATGCAGAGAGGTGTTGAGTGGTTCTTCAGGTCTGATAATCATGTCTGATGGGGTTTTCAAACTAAAGGATGGTAGCACATAAGCCATGGTGTCGTGCTATATGATAAGCACTGAAGTGGTAACTGAAAGGCTAACAGTTCAAATTCATTAGTTGCTCTAGGAAACCCTATACACGGTTGCTATGAGTTGGAACTGACTCTAAGACAAACTACACAAAGTATATGGGTGGTCCCTGGTCTTGAATGTGCATTCTTATGGAATTCCATATGGACATGGACTTTCCTGGTTCCTGGGGTTGTATCTTTTTTCACTGTCTCCCAGCAGCTTCTTCAGGTCTGTAGGGGCACCTGGGCTCCATTCCAGCAGATAGGTTGGGAATTTAATCATGCAATCTGCAAGGAGGAAATGCATCCTTCTGTGCTCTTCCACATATTCTCACTTCTAGGTAATTCTGAATATCATAGTAACCTCTTGTAAGGAAAGGAGGCAGCTGGGAACTGGAATGGGCATACAGTCCTCAGTCCTGTTAGCATTTTTAAGCCAAACAGGAAAGGCTTCAGTTTCCTGTCACTGGAGACATTGACAAACCAGTATGATTAGTTTTTTGTCTCCCCAAGTAGGTAAGGAGCATCAAAAGGGATATTCATATGGTAGAATTCTTGCCTTTATAAGTCTGAACAGACTCAATTTAACAACAACAACAAGATGGGAGAGAATGAATTTCATTTCTGGCCAATGTACCACATGGAGTGTCACATTACTCAATAAGTACTGTAAGCATAGGGTTACTTGTGTTGGAAGAAGTACAACCAGGATGCTCTTTGGAAGCCAAGATAGTGAGACTTCGTCTCTCATACTTTGGACATATTGTAAGGAGGGACCAGTTCCTGGAGAAGGATATTATGTTAGGTAAAGTGGCAGGTCAGTGAAAAAGACAAAGACCCCTAATCAGATGGATTGGAAGTGACAGCAGCAGTAGGCTTAAGTTTAACAATTGTGAGGATGGTACAGAACCAAGCAGTGTTTTGTTCTGTTGTGTATAAGGTCACTATGAGTCAGAATGGACTGGATGGCACCTAACAACAAACAACAACTAATCTGCAGTGAACAAAATCACATTTTTTTCACCACATTAAAGGTTCTGCTCCTATGTATGGCTGGCATCTGTCTCTCTCCCAACCTCACAGCGCCTTTCTACAGAATCAAAACCTCATTTCAAATTTACAATTCCTTACAGGGACTGAATACTCAGTAAGCAAGGTAAGCATGGGTTTACTTGTGCTCACATACTTAATCTGTTCACTAGTATGTAAGCACAAATAAGTTCGTGCTTATCTTGTTGGGTAATCCACAGCTGCCTATTTGTCAGTGGAGGCTTGGTGTTGATGTAATGCTGAAGAGGTTTCAGAGACACATCAAACACGGACTAGGAAGAAAAGCTTGGTGAGCTGCTTCTGAAAATCAGATACTGAAAACCCTGTGGATCACAATGGGATGCCACAGCACTGAACAGTAAACAATGTTTCTTTCCGTTTGTCGGGAGTTGCCATGAGTGGGACCCACACCAGCGCAGCTAACAACGAGTGTCGACGCTTGCTATTAGGGAACAGAAAGTCCGGCGTCACGTTCTATTAACTCCAAGGCATAGGAGGTAGAGACGGATAGTGAAAAAGAGCTGAAATGAGTGTCCAGAAACGGGTTTATCTTTCTGCTGTGTTAACTAGCTAGGTGAATGTGAGACCACCTTTCCAGCCTCAGTTTCCTGCTCAGTAAAATGAGAACAGTTAAATTAGGTATACAATGCTTCTGCCATCTACCATTTTCTCTATTTTTGGGTGACAGGAATGAAGTAGAAGACGCAGAACCAGTTTGGATGCGCATAGACAAACCCGTGAAAAAGCAAACAGAACAGGCAGACCGGAAGGCGGAGATAGGTGGGGTAGAGGTTAAGGGAGAGGAGAGTGGACACAGATCGCAGGATGCAGGGAGCCCCGCAATATTTGGAAAGAGAATGATCCTTCAAAGGGCATGTTCTTTACTCAGGTGACTTTGAATGGTTGTGACCCCGTGGAGTTGCGCCGATACTCAGATTCTCAAAAAGAACCCCGCCCCCTTTCCAGCAAATCGGAGTTTTTCTCCCCATAATGCCCAGCAGCCACTGCTGAACCGTACTCTGCAACCGAACTCTACTTAACTCCACCTCTCCAACCGCCCAGCACAAATCCTCATTTTTCTTTGGCTTTTATAACTGTCAATCAGAAAGTTACTCGTATCCGTTGGTTGTCCCCTGTCTACCCTTTTCTTCGCCTTGCAACCTCACCTCCTTAGGCACGCCCCACCTCCTGAAGCCTATTTTCCTCCTTTGATTGGATAGTTGAAATGCCACTTTTCAGGATATAAAGCTATGATTGGCTGTATTGGGCAGGACTCGCGCAGTTACCAGGCAGCGGGCTAGACTGAGGCTACTTACCACGTCAGTGAGCTGACAGGGAAGGTAACCGGTTCCACCTCCTGTCCCGACCGACTCATCCCGGCCGCCTTTGTGGTCGCACCCTGCCATCGGCCTCAACTTCCAGGAAACGGGCTCCTTCCTATCTCCCACCTGCCATCAGAGCCGGGAGAGTCGTTCCGAGACGCCTCCGGGGCCCGGGCTGGACATGAACAGCGGCTGCTGGTCCTGGGACTAGGCCCCGCCATTTTGGATCCGCTGACAGGTCAGCGAAGTCTTTGTAGAGTTACAGGTCTGACATTGCTATATACAAGGGGGAGGCCCCTGAGTTGGGCCACCTGGGGTGGGTTGGCTTAGAGGGTTGGAGTAAGACGAAGGAGGGAATGTTGTGGGAGAGAACTTGGAGGTGTGCAGGGGGCAAAGGTCAGACCCCTGCCTCCGGAGAGGCGATCCGCTCTGATTGCAGATCCCTTGTGTGTGTCCGAATCCTTTCTGCATTTCCAGGCGTGCCCTTGCCTTCTTTCAACTCCTCTTTGCCGAAGCTTTGTGTGTCCTGAAGAGCCCAGTCCTCAAAAGCTGAAAGCAAACTTAAGCAGCATTGTATTTACTCTAAGGGTTGGTTTTTAAGGCTTAGATATGAGACTGTGTAGATTCTTTACAACATCCAGTTCTGTGTGACTGTGTCATTATGCCATCGGAACTGTCTCATTAATACTGGATGGTGAACAGTGCAACCTAGACGCTGGGAGTGAGGAGAGGTATGCAAGGGTTGAGACCAGTGTACACGGGCTGAACTACGAGAAGGCTCTTAGAGTGCAACTCACCTGCCAGTGTGGGTCTGTATGTTAACGCTGGACTTCTGAACCTAAGTTTCTTCCTTTATATAATCTTTTGCAGATATTGCCTCTGGTGTATTTTTCTTAGTTGGTTATCCACCACCTCTCGTCTCCTCTTCTCTTCCCTTGGCCTAAGGAGTTGAGATTTAATCACAAGGAAGTTCTTCTGTGATATTTGGCCAGAGAGCCGAAAAGAATTTGAATCCTAGCAAAGTTTGGTCTTTTATTTTTTAGTGGGTAAAAAGAATTAAAAGAGCAATTTGAAAGTGGTAGGATCAGACAGCAGAGTGAGTGATGGAATGTCACCCCAAAGAGTGCAATTTATGGCACAGTGATGACCTTTGAGAAACTGCTGCAATGTAAAGTTGTAAAAATTACCAAGGATAAAGAGTGCTTTTAGTAAGGAGAAATAGTATGTGGTGGTGGTGGTTAGGTGCCGTGGAGTCAATTCCTACTCATAGTGACCCTGTATAGGATTTCCGAGGCTGTAAATCTTTACAGGAGCAGAAAGCCCCATCTTTCTCTTGCAGAACAGCTGGTAGTTTCCAACTGCTGATCTTGCAGTTAGCAGCCCAACTCGTAACCACTATGCTACCGGAGCTCCTTGACGAATAGTATAGATTTTGATTTTTAATGCACAACTTAGAAACTTATATGCTTTTAATGAATTCAGGCTCACAAGGCACAACTCTAGGCCCTGGAGAGGATACAAATGGCAATGTCTGTTCAGTTAATAGCAGCCTTGGTGGCACTGTAGGATAAGCAGTGATTGGACTGCTAACCACAAGATTGGCGGTTCAAACCCACCAGGCTCTCTGCAGGAGAAAGATGAAGCTGTGTGCTCCCATAAAGATTTACAATCTTGGTAATCCTATATAGGGTGACTATGAATCAGAATTGACTTAATGGCAGTGGGTTTGTTCTGCTTAGTTTATGCACTTCTTAAGAGTGGTAGCATGTATGAGAAGGCTTCAAAAGGTTCATGAAAAAAATGGAATGAAAAGATAATGGAATTTTTCCATGTGATGTTTGAAGCTCCCTTGTATGTGTAGTGGCCTAGCAAGAGCCTGTTATAGAGTTAAAAGCAGGCTCAACTTAACACCTCTCAGTATGTAGTTAGTGGATACTCAATAAATTACATTTGTACTTGAGATCATATTAATATGTGATAAGGACTTGTGGCCTAGTTCTGGCATTGGCAGTCAGGAACACTATGCACCTTGCATAGTGAGGTAGTAATGGTGGTTGTGGTTGTGTGCCACCAAGTTGGTTCTGACTCATAGTGACCCTGAGTAGGTATCTGAGGCTATAAATCTTTACAGGAGCAGAAAGCCTTATCTTTCTCCCGCTGAGTGACTGGTAGATTCGAACTGCTGACCTTTTAGTTAGCAGACCAGCATGTAATCCATCGCACTACCAGGGCTCCTTGAGGTGGTAATAAGAAGGATCAAAACCTAGAGAAAACTATCTGTGATCTTAGAGTGACTGAACTCAGTTTCTTGCCACCTAATTCTGAAATTGTGTGTAGGTTTGTTTTGTGTGAAGGGACAGAACTTATTTACATTTATTAATTTAAAATAAATGGGATGGAAACAGGAAATTATTTACAGTTTAACTTATTGATCCAAGTTGCAGAATTTCCAAAAAATAATTTAAAGTGGCAAGTGAAATGACTTAGCCAGTCCAGAAAGTACCTAGCTTTGATGGGCCTGTCTTGCCCACCTGAGCCAGTGCCCTGTTGAGTTGATTTGCTGTGCATATGGACAATCTGCCATTTCAGCATCTTTTCATGTAGACCGTTGGGTGATAATTGTTGTTATTAAGTGCGGTGGAATCAGTTCTGACTCTTAGTGGACACTGTATAGGGTTTCTGAGGTTTTAAATCTTCAGAGGAACAGAAAGCCTCATTTTTCTTCTGAGGAGTGGCTGGTGGGCTCGAACCATGGATCATATGGTTCGCAGTCCAATGCTTACTGTATGGAGTCACCGTGTTCCCTTGGATGATAACGTTGTTATTGTTAAGTGCCGCCGAGTCGATTCCGACTCATAGCAACCCTTTATCGGGTTTCCAAGGAGCAGCTGATAGATTTGAACTGCTGACCTTGTGGTTCAAAGTCCAGTGCTGATCCTGTAGTGCCTCACCAGGAGTCCTGGGAAGTAATAGAGACATAAAAATGTTTCCTTTTATATTATAAAGTCATTTTCTAGATAGAAATAGTCCTTCACCCCAACACCATCCCCAAATCAGAACATTTATCCTTCCTTTAAGACTTGTAGTTGAATTGCCTTTTTTTAAAGCTACTTTAAAAAAATGTTAATTAAAACATTTAAAAACTTTTATTGTGAATTGAGTGAAGGTTTACAGAGCAGATCATCAGTTTTACATTCAACAAATCATATACTTTGCTTCATTATAATGATTGTAATCCGCTCCATTTACCATCAGTTAACAGTATTTACCTCTGTTCATTTTAACTCTTGCATTCCTCTCTCTGTCTCCTACTGCCTTCTTCTTTTCTCTGTCCGTCTCTGTCTTGCTGTATATTGCCTGCCCTGTCACTCATGTTAACATGTGTCTTTAGTAGTTTAATGGGTTATGAGTTGTGCTGCTAACTGCAAGGTCAGTAGTTCAAATTTACCAGTTGCTCTGTGGGGAAAAGATGAGGCTTTCTGTTCCTGTCAAGATTTACAGCCTTGGAAACCCTATTCAGGGTTGATATGAGTCAGAATCGACTCCATAGCACATAACCACCATCACCTCTCCCCCAGCCATCATAGAATGGTTCTTTTATCAAGAAAACCTTAACATTTTCCATTGGTCTCATACAATATTTGTCCTTGTATGACTGCAGGTTCACTCAGTGTGAATAATTTCACTCAGCATAATGTCTTTCAGATTCATTCATGTTGTGAGGTATTATGCAGATTCGTTATTCTTCAGTGTTGCATAGTATTCCACTGTGTGTTATGTACCAAAGTTTGTTTAACCATTCTTCTGTTGATGGGCATTTAGGCTGTCTCCATTTTTTTGATGTATCTCTTGTAGACAGCATATTGAAGGATCTTGTTTTCTTGATCATTCTGCTGTTCTCTGTCTTTTGACTGTTGTATTTAATCTGTTTACATTCAGTGTAATTATCGATAGCTATGAATGGGTGGTGCTGTGGGATAATGCACTGGACCGTAAGGTTGGTTTGAAACGCAAGGTTGGCCGTTCAAATTCACCAGCTGTTCCTTGGAGACCCTATGGTCTGTGGGTCGGAACTGACTGGACAGCACTTAGCAGTAACAACAACAACAACAACATAAATTGATTGCCAACAACAACAACATAAATTTATTGCTGTCATTTTACCGACTGCTTTGTGGTTGTTGTTGTTGTTAGGTGCCATAGAGTCGATACCAACCCATAGCGACCTTATGCACGGCAGAATGACACATTGCCCAATCCTGGGCCAACCTCACTACTGTTGCCACGTTTGAGTCCATTGATGCTGCCACTTAGCCAATCCATCTCGTTGGGGCTCTTCCTCTTTTTCTCTGACCCCCCACCTTACCAAACAAATCCTTCTCCAGTGACTGGTCCCTTCTGACAATGTCTGAAGTATGAGAGATGAAGCTTAGCCATTTGGCCTCCAAGGAACACTCTGGCTGCACTTCTTCCAAAATGGATCTACTGGATTTTAGG